TCGACGCAGTCAGTTGTCAGGAGGACCGCCAAGTAGCATCCCCGCGTACGCGCCCCTGCGTCATTACTGAGCGGCCAGAATTGGAAAGGAATAGGACACTTCACAGGGGCTGGATTAGCCCCTGTGAACCGAACTCGTTCTGTCGTAACAAATTTCACATGAGGATCTACGGAGATTCTACGGGAATCGAACCTGGAACTTCAGTGGTGAGAGGCAAGCGACTTCGCCACTGAGCCACGAGAGCATAATGTGTTACTTGTAAGTGCTCTGCTTTATTATATGCTACTACATAAACATCTGTAAGCTCTAAGTGGCGTATCTTCGCATTTGTTTTCACGGTAAAATGCTATCATGATTTCATGATCATTTCTCGTGTCCAACTAATTCGAGATTGGTCCTCGTTGCGATGTCCTCCTCTGCGAGCAGTCACCTCCTCTCGAGCAGACGAGCCAGCCGATGAAGTGGCATAGGGAGTAATTGCCGTGTCTTCTTCCTCCACGTTGTCCAGGTTCTCACAGTTAGACGATGTAGTCATATTGGAGGCTGTCACATATTTATTGGCAGGGGCCCGCCCTCTCAACACCCTGTCGCCGGTGTCCCGCATGCTGATCCTCCCAGCACCGGCTCCAGACGGTCCCTGGCGCTCCCCGGGCAGCGGCTCTTCTTTCGAGGCCTCACAACTTCTTCTTTGTGACTCCGTTTCTCTATGGCTTGCCTTGAATACATACAGCCAGGTTGATGGAAGGGGAAAAGGAAGGGCAAAAATGGAAATTCGCTAGGATGGGTGACGGGAACTTCCAAGCTTCTGGATCCTCTTTTTCGCTCCCGCCGGTAAGGAAGGGAATATCAGGTTAAAAGAATGGTAACTTGTAGAGGTAGGGAGAGTGGTCAGCTCCTCAGATTAATTGCCTTTTACGATGGGGGAGATCCCATAGTGCTATTCTACTGAAAGCCCCGACACCATGCAGGTATTATTATCATTATTATCATAATCATTATTATTATTATTATTATTATTATTATTATTATTATTATTATTATTATTATTATATTGTTATTATTAATTACATATTATGTAGTACCCTATGTTATTTATATATTGTATTAATAATAATAATAATGATAATAATAATAATACATTTTCCTTCTCACGTACGATAGCGGCAAACAAACCGAATATTATTATCTGGGATTAGGAGAAAAAGTGTGTACTTGTAAATATTGCTGTGTGGTACGAAGAAAGCGTCGTAACAAAGGAGGCAGAGGAATGTCTTAAATACAAGAGTTAGGGAAACGAGGTCAGCCGAATGTGGGGCGTTAAGGACAGGTTGTATCGATAGTTATCAGATGTCTGGGATTGGTTCCGCAAAATACGTGTAAGACCTTGGTTAAAGTGCCAGATTCAAAAGATTGGGAAGTGAATTGTTTTCTTGGGAACAGACCACATTTTGTGCAATGTATTATAGAGGCCCCAACAGTCTCTAGATCTGCAAGGATCTGCTAGTTCTCTAGATATATTGAGACCTTTTTTGGGGGGGGAGGAAGTCGCAAATTGGTCATGTCGGGACCACGCGAATGTGCAAACCACCGGAGTTCAGTCATATTTATCCAGGGTAGATGCACGTGACGTTTATGGGGGTGAGGGATACGTATTTTCATGCTGAATACGTTTTTATACCATGTTAAGCCCTAGGGGATAAAGGGAAATAATACAGATGATACTATGAAAATGGACAATCACAAACATACTGCAACACAAACACAATCATGCCTGAGTAAGGACTTGAACCATTATTATTATTATTATTATTATTATTATTATTATTATTGTTATTATTATTATTACTATTATTATTAGTATAAAATTCATTGAACATATTATGGATGCTGTACGGCATTATCAGACGACTATCTTGGAAGATAACTAACTTGCAAAATTGTTTCACTAAGAACTTGCCCTTAAACGTGGGCTGCTTGACACTCCTACAGATATTGTCCAACCACGGTATTGGAGACAATGAAAGGACCGATATCACCGACAAAACAAGGGGATTATAACAAGCCTGATATCCACTTCATTGATAAAAGCAATAAGTCAGCCTCTATAATTGGTATTGCTGTTTCTTTGACCCATAACATCAAGAAACTGAATTAGAGACGATCAGGAAGTACGAGTATGAGGAGCTGGCAATGCACTTGAAACAGATCTGGCGGTTGGAGAATATTATTTTACATGCCTTGATGATTTCACCGGAAGAAGTGATGTAGAAATGTTTTAAGAATTATTTGAGAATTTTGGAACTACCAATAAAATTACAAACTGTTGAACAAAAGCAATCTTACTTCAGACTTTTCACATTATTCTTACTAAGAGCTCAAGTGGGATAGGGTGAATTCCCCTTTCAAAAGAGCAGGATCAGGTTCTAAGATTCTTTGAGTCCAGTTAACTGAGAAAGATGTTAAATAATAATAATAATAATAATAATAATAATAATAATAATAATAATAATAATAATTAGTGGCCTGCAGAACTAAAAATGCTGCAGAAGAAAACCACAAAAACTGTTTTTTAAAAAGTAGCGCGCAAACTGATGTAGAACACTGCATAGGAATTCTCTCGTAGAACCCCCGGGCGCTACTCTACCACTACTGGCAAAGCAGAGCGCCTTGTGATGCTACATTTATGCCCAGAAGCGAAACAAGGAGCCATCTCAACATTTGCTCAATGTGTCAGGGAAAGTGAATAAACGCTTGATCGAGATGGGGGTATTGACTCGGAAGCTAAAGTACGTTACTTGTTTAGTTTGCTTTAAACACCACAAAAATACACTATTTAAATATTTTAGTTATTTTTATGGAATGCGCATAATAATTGTCAATCATAATTATTGCTGTTGTGAATAAAAATCATATCACAATGTTCCCACAATAATTTGAAATCCGATTCAATAGAATGATCCACGTCTGTTCTGCGAGCCTGGTGGTTGACTGGACATTGCTACATGGAGTCGCGATGCTACAGCATAAGGCTGTGACAAACCATTGGCTGCACGCGGAGGGACGTGGGGAGTTTAAGAGTGAATTGGTGTTACTAAACCAATCAAATCAGAGACGGCACGCCTGCACGGTTTTGACGCGAACTCAGCCGTCCAAGTGAAATTCGACAAAGGGGACGTAAATGTCGCTTCAGATAGCAGCACTAATCGGAATACTTGACCCCGATCCGCTTCCATCTGTTGTACGTACGAGCATGATGGAAGAGTTCCATAAAATGGGCGCAGTCTCGGCAGTACACGACATGGAGGCAGAACATATTTGTTTTCTGAAAAGGATTAATACATTTCTAATCAATAGAATGATAAGATACAAGAGAGATTATCAGCTTTTGCAGTGCAACCCATCGCGCTTCACTTTGTCGTCCAAATCGCAGACTTTAGAGAAGAGTTTACACCAAGCCCGAAGAGGCTTGTCGATTTCGTTTAGAAGTAGCTGAATATACGTGTTCTTGATTTATACTTTTAAGTAATAACTGATGCTGTGGGAATTGGTATCTTTCGAAGCAAAATCAGCATGCGCAATGTAGAAGCAAAGAGTATTTCTAAAACAAATTAGTTTTTTGCCATTCTCAGTATGTATGGAAATTCCCTCATTGTTATAATTTTATGGAAAACCACCTTTCGAGGGAAGGAGTCACAACTGATATAATAATTCATTAAATTGATCAATTACTAATATTGTTTTGTATATTAACTTTTCTATGTACGAAACAAGTAAATCCCACCAAACCTTTCCGCAGAATGCTAATCAACTTGTTGGATTATTTTACCCTAGAATTTCAGCCGCATAATAGTGCATTAAACAGAAAATCATGGATATTTAATATGTGTAACTATTTTTTGGGGTAAAATGTCAGTAAATATAGGTTCATGATAAAGCCTTGTCCTAGCCATGTTTATTATTTTTCATGTTACTACAATTTTCTTCATTCAGCAATAATTAAGTTTGAAATAAGTTGGTAGCAAAACCGAATAATATATTGCGAATCGGTTTTGTATTTTTTCATTAATTTTTTTTTGTTTGTAATGCGAAATAGTGAGAAGCCAAAATTCGTCGGTGAGATCGATTGGAAAGTAGTGTTTCTGAGCGTTCGCACCAAAGACTTGAAAGTAAAAAGACCTAACTACTCTCAGAATCATTCTATTTTTGCATCTGCGTCTATTAAGACAGTGGTTCCTGGCAGGATGATTGGACATTATGCAGCACAAATTTGTAAGAATAGAAAGAACAATTTTTAATTTCGACTGGTGTATTACACAAAGATGCACTAATTTTCTAGTTAAGCAGCACTAACTGTGGGGATTTCGTCACTTTAACGTTTAATGAACTTCCAGTAGAAATACTTACAAGATCGTACAATTAACACGCCTCAAGGCACATATTTGATTCATACCCTACATCCAAATTAATAATAAGAAACAATAATTCGGTAAGAGCTGAAAAGAACGTCTTAAATGAAGTATTTTCAATGTACAGAAGTGTGAATTGGCCACAATATTCGCCCAAAAGGGTGGATGCAATTGGAAAATCGCCCTCCTAGTGTCACTTCAGTCTTCCCGTGCTTGACGGACGGCAGGCGTTGTAGACGTGTGGTATATGCGCTTCAAGTAGATCATGTCTCGCCAGGCGCTGCCAAGTACCCTTGGAGACAAGGGGAGGTGTTTCCCCGAAGAGCGTCCCTCGCTGCTGGCGCAGCTCTACGACTAAAACTAGCTCGAAGGTATTTTGAGCTCGGTGGCACGTTCGTTGCCGTCGCCGTGTGCCGTCGCCGCGCGCCGCCGCCATCGCTGCCGAGCCGGTGTCACCTCCCACCGCGGCCCGGCGCGCAGAACGGCCCCGCAGCCTTCCCGCCACTGCTCCTCGACGCCCCCCCCCCCCCTCCCAGCCGGCGCCCGCCGCGCGCGCCGCACCGCACCAGCGGGAGCACCAATTCTGCGTTCGCAATTTCGCACTCGACCGACGTCTCAGTTATCGAATTGGCTCGGGGATGATAATTATTATGACTTGACTTCTGCTAACTGAAGCCGTGGTAGGCATTACGCTTTTTGAGACGATTTTTTGTACATTTATTGATAGTTATTAATTTTCCTTCAAGAACTAGTCAGCGATTCGCAAAGACAGCAATTGACGCCTTTCTCGTCTGCACTTGCTTGTTCGACCGTCGTTTTCCGTGTGTCGTGTGACCGCTTGTGACTTCCACGATGCAGAGGCAACAGCAACAACAGCAGCTGCACCAGCAGCAACAACAACAGACTTTCGTACAGCAGCAACAGGTCTCTCAGCAGACCTCCCAACAGAGTGTTCGTCGCGTAGAACAGCACGTCACTCACCAAGTGACCAGCCAGCAACATCAGCAAGGTCAGTTGATAAACGCGACCAAACGCGTGAAGCGGCTAGCGCTCCGCGGCACATGTGGGTAGGAGCGTGGGCGTTGACGGGCCACCATCGGCCCGTCCAAATTCTCACAAGTTCACGTGTGAAAGTGAAACATTTTTTAAATCTAAAAAATGCATTGAAAGGCGTTCTTCGGGTTCAGGGAAGAAAGGAAGTGTAAAATGTGATCGTGATCATTGAACTTAATTTGTTAATGCTAGATCAGGAAGAACGTCATTATATTAAATAGTGATCAAAAAGATTACGAAAGTGTCGGAAATATATTTTTGCATTCATTATTATATCTTCTTTAAGAAATGATAAGTTACAGGAAGTCAAATTGCATGCCGTTACCTCACCCACATACCTAGGGTCTTCCTCGAAATTCATTATTTCCTCAAGTGATCAGAAAAATGTTTCGAACAATTATGGTGTGAAAAGTATCTTTAAAAAAAGACGATGTGCTTAGTGCTGCTTGTATTGCTTTATAAAAAAACATTTCGAATTTGTAGGCCTGGCAAAAGAATGAACTTTCTAATTAAATCAGTAATTCTCATCTAGGTCTGTAAATGGTTTCTTGTATTGTAAACGTAAAGGTGTGAAAAAAATAGTTTTATAATTATGGTTTTACATTGGAAAGTTCTCCAGTTCTGCATACAAAATTTTAACTAGATCGCAGCGAAATGAAGGAACTTTCACAACCGTAATTGTGTAATGTCAAATACGAAAAAGAAAAAAAAAATCTTGTGTCGAGAGAGCAAGGCTCAAAACAAGGTATTAAATTAAATGGGTTTCTCATTTTACTTTTACTTACTTTTCTAAGGTACATTTTAAAAGCACAAGAGAAAACATTTATTTCGAGAACAACAGAACGTAAGATGAGATGAATACATTCAAAAGTGTCAGAATGACAGTAAGAAGCTGTTTCAACATATGTCACCAATACCGAAAAAATATGACTTTGTAAGTTCTCAAAGTTTTATGAATGGTTTGATGGAACAATCACAACAAACTTAATTTCATCGGCTACCTTTTCCGGCTCGAACGTAAAGAGAATGCCGGTGTGACATGATAGAGGCGAAGTCTGGTTAAAAGACCTTTAAATGTACATGTGGAGTGTGTTACGTATGTATGAAAGAATAATGCTATTTGAACATCATAGATGGTAAGACTACAAAGCTGCTGAGCCACGGTAAACGTATCTAAACTCGTAATAAACGTCTGTTCATCCTTTTTTTATTCTCGGTGGTGCAAATGCTCTCAGGCGAACTCATTAATAACTAGGGTTAAACACAACACAATTCATTTTTCGGGAATAAATCGTGAATTAAATTTCAGTTAAGAAGTATAGTATCGTTATAGAAGTCGTATTTTAATTTCTCTTGTTTCGTAGGATTTATTTCAAAATATTTAAATTTTCTCCCGAAGATAATTGCGTGCCAGTTCAGTGACATTTTAAACTACCAGATCACACAGCTGGGAGCAAATGCTTTTATGGGAACAATTGGGTCAGGCGCTAAGCTAAATAAAAATATCCATCTAGTTTAAAAGTCAACAGGAAATTATTCCTTTAGTCCCAACTGAAATTTAATGTTTATGTTGACGCACGCTCCTGATTGTTGTCGGGGAGGCGACATTTCGGCTGTGATACATTCATTTTTTACTGCATCTGTTTCGCGCTGGGGTCGCTGCTTCAGATCGCATCGGTAGCGGCGAACGGGCGTGGCGCTGGAAGTCGCGATTTGGACCAGGCCTGGTGCCAGGAAATGTATCGATCAATCTATATCGATCTCTAACTATGTATGTCAGATACAGAATACTCAACGGTACGGGTGAGACATTTAGCACACCGGCGTGTTCTGTACAATGGGATAAAACAATATTTCTAATGTTCTTTTGCTGGGAAAGTCTTCGTCGCTGAATTATAGTTGTGGATGTAGATGATTTATATTGTTTCATGTCATGAAGCTTGTCTTTATAGTGACCGTTGAACGTAAGAAAGCAATCTTAATATTGCCGAAGAGAAATTCTTTGCCCTAATAGACACTTAGAAAACCCCAAATTTGCATTTTGATAGGGGGAGCGTGAAAAATAACGATAGTCCTATATTGAAATAATGCGTGATTATGTTTTGATAATGTCTGCTGAGTTTCGTGTTGCAGGATTGATAGTGGTTTTTCATGTAGAGATCTGATGAAGTACTGTAGAGGAATAGGTAATATTGAGAGGAATACACTGACATATTTTTTACACTCAAAATTGTTCTCGTGCCGAAAAACCAGTTTCCATGGTGTTAATACACAACCTACAGACATTTTCAACTCTAATAAATTTCTTGAAATAATCCAATTCCCGATAGAGTTGATACAGATTGTATAAATAACGTTTCGCAAATGAAGTCGATTGATTGTTGGTATAACTGATGCATGAAACCTGAAGGTTGTTCATATTTGGACTCGTATCGGGGGAACGTATGCATGTGTCATCTTTGAGGTCGGCCTTCGAAGTTATGTGGTGATACATAATTTTAGTCTTGTGATTGTGACTGTGTATTTCGTAGAGAATAGAACTGAAGTATTATCGCTTGAAATATGATGAACGGTGTCCAGATGGACACAAAAAAATCAATTTCTTTGAATATATGTGGCTATTTTCGTTAGGCTACCTTAATTGAAACGGATAGTGCACCTCGGTACGGGAGCGTCGTTAGAGTTCGCTAGTGGCCGAGGAATGTGTTCGAAACCCAAGGAGCGTAACGTGTGAGGGCGGACGGCTTCGCGATCAGGGACCCGGCAGCAAATGAGACGCGAAGGTATCGCGCTTTGACCCAACATCTTACGAAACGAAGGCATTGCCAGAAGACGGCACGTCCAGTTCAGAACAACCACTTGCGTTGTTCTCAGGGGGTTGAACGGAGCACCGGGGGAGCGATGGCGCTGAAGTCGCCTCGTCAACGAGCCCCCGCGCCGGGTAGATCTGGAAGCGACCACCAAGGGCGCCATGCCGCATTGCTCTGACCCGTCGAGAAGGGAACCGTGTCACCAGGTCATAGGTCAGCAGGATACCTGCCCGGTGGTCCTGCGGGAGGGGGGGGGCGGCCGGCTGGAGGTCGGCGCTTACACACAGGTGTCGCGGGAACTCCAGAGGCCGAGCTGCACAGCGCGTTCCTCTTTCCCACGCATGCGCTTCTCTCTCTCTCCTCTCTTCTTCTCTTCTGGCCCAGCGGGTGGAGCGGCCAGACAATTCAAAGCATCTTCAGCTGTTTCATTTGTTAGCTCTCATCTCGCCTCAAAACAAAACGTACAACCAATACGCTAGTTATAGTGGAATGATAGGGAAGTTATCTTGGAGCTGGTAAATAGTTTGCTCCTAAGAGGTATTTACTGCAAAATCGAATGAGAGTGATTAACACTGAATCAAGCCGTATCGTAGAGTAGTAGGATGGGATTTTAAAGGACAGTCGGTAATGTATGAATGCAACACGGCCAGAATCAGATCTTTCAAAAATTGACTGCAATAACAGTGTCGCCCTGAGGTAAAATGATTCGGGAGGAGCCCCATCCGTCAGCTGGATGATCTGCACACTCGCGGCGGGCGTCGCTGGACTCACAGACAAATCTGCTTTGAAAGATGAGTCCTGCACTCCTGCCCGCTCGTTGAAGGCAGCGCTTAGCCGGCAGCGATGGGCGCGCTGATCAGGCAAAATAGAGATGAGCCCACCGCGCCAGGGAGCAATTCCCTTCCCCGCGCCGCCTCCGCCGCGACCGCCTTCCTCCTCAACGCAAGCGCTCCAAGGTGTAACCGGGGGTCGCGCGCGGCGAGGCGGAGCGGGAGGGGGCGGGGCGGGGGCGGCGCGGGCGGCGGCGGGGCGGGCCCGGGGCGCTCCGCTGCGGTGGGTGAGAAGAGCCCCCCTCCGCGCCCCCGGCATCGGCCCACCAGCTGCACTAGTCCACTCATTCTGCCTGCTCCCCCGCCCGGCTCACTACAGTCGCATT